ATGTGTCAGGGAAAAAACAGCAAGAAGACTGCCTTAACATTATAATTCACTGATAAACTAGTGTTTTGTGTATTTTCGGCTGCAGTGACGAAGTCAACGACACTGACTCCGTCATCTCCACGTTTCATACGGATTACATAATCTGAACATATTTGTTTTCCATTTGAATTGGTTAATTTAAAAGTAGACATTTTCTATAGATATATTTTTCATGTCTGTGAGTCAAACACGGAGTTGAGATTAATTTATTTTTTTGATGCGCTCAAGTTCACAGAGACCGAGACGGCAGAAAGCGCACCCTGTTTGCTTTCATTATTTTACAAAAGAGCAATGTTTTGTTGTTATTTTGAGTGCACACAGATGAAAGTAGACCTTTTACAGATTCGAAAGATGTATTACTCTTATCTGTCTGAGCAAAATTGAGGGTGTATATTAAGTTAAATGCAAATGATCGCATCGGCGCCTCCAATTTACTGTTCAGCTTCCACGCTCTGCACAAACACTTCTATTTTAGGGGATTCACTCCTGCATTTAAATGTGGTTGTCACTCCAGAAACTTTACAGTGTATGTACACTACCAGTCAAAAGTTTTTGAACAGTAAGATTTCTAATGTTTTTTTAAAGAATTCTCTTCTGCTCACCAAGCCTGCATTTATTTGATCCAAAGTACATCAAAAACAGTAAAAATTTTAAAATATTTTTAGTATTTAAAATAACTGCTCTCTATTTGAATATATTTTAAAATGTAATTTATTGCTGTGATCAAAACTGAATTTTCAGCATCATTATTCCAGTCTTTAGTCACATGATCCTTCAGAAATCATTCTAATATGCTGATTTGCTCAAGAAACATTTATTATTATCATTATCAATATTTAAGAGTAAATCTTTTTCAAGATTCTTTGATGAATAGAAAGAACCATTATACACTATACCATTCAAAAGCTTGGAGTCAGTATAATGTTTTTTTTTTTTTTTTGGGAACGAAATTATAGAAATTAATACTTTTATTTAGCAAGGATGCTTTAAATTGAACAAAAGTGATGCTAAAGACATTTATAATGTTACAAAAGATTTCTATTTCAGATAAATGCTGTTCTTCTGAACTTTCTATTCATCAACGAAACCTAAACATATTCTACTCATCTGTTCTCAACTTAATAATAATAATAATAATAATAATAATATGATTTCTGGCGTTTCAGATGAACTGTGCCTCTCTCAGACCTTCGTCTGCATGCGTCTCACTTCATAATGGTTTTATCTGTGCGGTTGTTTGTTTTCAGGTGTTTACTTTTGTTTCATTATTACATGGATTTTATTTCTGGTGAACGGTTGAAGAATCCAGTACTGTATGTTTCTGTATAAATGATAAACTAGTGAAGGATGAGTTTCTAAATACTGTCGTATCGAATCAGTCTGATGTGTTTTAGTCTGATGATATCTCGTGTTTAATCTCACGGTAAAGGGATCAGCCGCGTTTCTCATGAAGCCATAAACTCTACGCAAGTTCAGTTCTGAATGTTCTGCTGGAGCACAAAAAGTGGCATTAAACATATTTTTTAATCAAATGTCTGTTTATTTCTCAGCCCGATTCAGAACTTTGTTTGGTTTTTAGATTCTCTCAGTTGTTTATGCTGATGCTGGGGTTTTAGGAACATGGACCAAAACTAAGGAAGACGTTTACAGTGAGTTTTGTGCTGAAACATCACAATGCCATTCAGTTCTTTCAGTGCAGGACAGATTTATGAATCTATAGATAAACAGGAATGGTAGGGTTGTTAATCATTAAAGTGTTTTTAAAAAAAGCATGTTTAGTCATTTAAATAAAAAATCAAATCAAACAAAAATACATGTATCCATATGTTGATGTATAATAACCCACTGAATTCTGCAGACAGGGTCATGATTCCAAACCATCTGAACACAAAACCTCATGCTTGTAACCAGTGTTGGGGAAAGTTACCTTTAAAAGTAATGCATTACAAAATTGCGTTACTCCCTAAAAAAGTAACTAATTACATTATTTAGTTACTTTTTATGGAAAGTAATGCGTTGTTACTTTTGAGTTACTTTTTAAATCTGGGCAGGGCTTGCTTGTTTGTTTTTAATATAAAAAATGTATTTTACAAATGTAAAAGCCCTTTCACATCACAAGTGAAACGAATACGCCTCAGGCTGAAGAAAATGTAGAGGACACGGCTCAAACTAATTATTATCATCATTCAGAATACTGTGCTGAAGGACATCAATATCAATTGTAAAGTTACATTAAAAAAAATTAGCAGAGACCGATATTCAGATGGATTTATTGTACAGGGAGGGAAGGAGCAGACAGCAACACAAAAATAATATGAGTCACAGCCTAATAATTCAATAGTGTGTTCAGTATTAGAATTTTTCAACAAATATATTGTACTAATTTTGACATTTAGGCACTTTAGAAATTGTGTTCTAATACACTACCAGTCAAAAGGTTTTGATCAGTACGATTTTTAATGTTTTTAAAAGAAGTCTCTTCTGCTCACCACGCCTGAATTTATTTGATCCAAAATACAGCAAAAATAGCAATATTGTGAAATATTTTTATGATTTAAATGACTGATTTCTATTTGAATATATTTTAAAATGTAATTTATTCCTGTGATTTCAAAGCTGAATTTTCAGCGTCATTACTCCAGTTTTCAGTGTCACATGATCCTTCAGAAATCATTCTAATATGCTGATTTGCTGCTCAAACAACATTTATTATTAATAATAATAATAATAATAATAATAAATGTTGTTTGAGCAGCAAATCAGAATATGAGAAGGATTTCTGAAGACTGGAATAATAATAATAATAATAATAATAATAATAATAATAAATGTTGTTTGAGCAGCAAATCAGAATATGAGAAGGATTTCTGAAGGATCATGTGACTGGAATAATGATGCTAAAAATTCAGCTTTGATCACAGGAATAAATTACATTTTAAAATATATTCAAATACAAAACAGTTATTTTAAATAGTAAAAATATTTAAACATTTTACTGTTTTTGCTGTACTTTGGATCAAATAAATGCAGGCTTGGTGATCAGAAGAGACTTGTTTAAAAAAACATTAAAAATCTTGACTGTTCAAAAACTTTTGACTGGTACACTCTTAAAAATAAAGGTGCTTCACAATGCCATAGAAGAATTTTTTTTGTCTAAATGGTTCCATAAAGAACCTTTAACATCTGGAAAAGCTGTTTCTGTTTCACAAAAGGTTCTTTGTGGTGAAAGAAGGTTCTTCAGATTATAAAAAGTATGAAAGAGATGGTTCATAAAAGAACCTTTGACTGAAAAATGGTTCTTTGTGGAATCAAAAATTATTCTTCTATGGCATCACTGTGAAAAACCTTTTAAGCACCTTTATTTTTAAGAGTGTAGTGTATGTTGCCACAAATTAGGACCTTATAGATTAGAATCTTGTAGAGCAGAATCCTGCAGAGGTAACCACTAGATCAGAATCCTATAGGATCCTATAGAATTATGAAGAACGGAAGCTTTCAACTGAACCCTGAGGCACAGAGCTCTACAGTTCAGACTCTTTTGATGAGCAGTGCCTCAGCTCAGGAGCAGTCAGTATTTGAGGACCTTGCTCACATGACTTGACTGTGGTTTGAAACGGTCACATGCAGCATGTTAGGAGACCACCATCAGTCACAACAGACTGGAGCCGCTCGAACACTCGAGGTCAGCATACATCTGGACGTGACGTAACTCCAGAACGCCTTTGCTGCTTTATCTTTTGTAATACAAATGTAACTTTTTTGATCTCTGACTGCTGTGTGAGTCACATTGTGTGTTTTTCTTTTTGAGTTGGAAGGAGAGTGTGTGTGTTTGAAGGAAAAGCGTGTGTTTGTGCAAGTGTGTAATCTCTCATGGTTAAACTCTCTCCCATCTGTCCTCTGTGTGTGGGAATGCTTACGCACACTAACAATATGCTCGTTTAAGAAACGCTGTTCTGTCTAGGGATGCTCAAAACCATCACTAGTCTGTGGCTTTTCTGAATGAATAGTAGATTAAGGATGTCCTATGTAATTAGGGTGGCTGTGTTTTGCTGATGTGCTTTTGATTCACTTTAGCTTAATTTTTTACATCTATTTGAATGTGGCAGGATGGAATTAAAGACAAATCAGTGCAAGTAAAATGTATTTATATAGCATTTCACAATCTCTCTTCATGATGGTGAGCATTTCACAAGATGATAAATTATTTTCTATTTTAAAAGTTGTATTATTTTATTTTAATTTATTTTAATTTAATTTAATTTTTACCCCAGCAAAAAATACCAAGTGCTTGTTGTCTATACTTATTAACCAGCCAAGACATCTTTTATTTTATTTTATTTTATTTTATTTTATTTTATTGTTACCCAGCTAAGACATCTACTGTTAAATTAAATTAAATTAAATTAAATTTCATTCAAAAGTTCATTAATTTTTGACGATTGATGTCTAAAAAATATGCCTTAATATATTTGTCTTTGTCCCAATGTGCATCTTAAATGGCATGCAGGATTACGGTTAACTGGATATCATAGCCCTTACATCAGAGAAGTTTATAACAGTACTTTTTATTTTATTTTATTTTTTTTTGACTTTCCAGTTGCAAAGAATGCAAGGGAGTTTTTGAATGTGTAAACTTAAAATTTATACTGAATACTGAATATTAAAGCAATAAATGTAGTTATATGCTAATACAAACAGTATGTGACAAAGTGTTGAGTAGTATTGCATTATCGAGGTAACTGCCGTATTGACCCTTTGAGATGATTTGTGATCAGGGCCATAATGCTAGTGTTGCCTGCAGAAACCAATTCAATTGAAAATAATTGAAATCTTCAACAGGCTCTGAAGCGGTTTTGATGGGAACAGATAATGATGTGGTTTTGAATCATTCGATGAAATCATTAAATGGGAAGAGATACACCTGTGTGTAATGGCAGATCTTACCTACTTTATGTCCGCAGGTTCCTCATGGTGCTAGTCTGCCTGATATTCAGCGTCCTGTCCACCATCGAGCAGTATGCAGACTTCGCAACAGGATCTCTCTTCTGGATGGTAAGCGTTTCACAGGATATACATTTTTTTGTATTTATTTAATTACATTTTTTATGCCCAGCTAATTTAATTTAATTTTATTTTATTATAAATTATTATTTATATTTATTATTTGTTTTATGATATTATCGTACACTAAATATCACACACCCCTAATATATAATGAAAACTATATAATGATATAATTTGTCATTTATTTATTGAATAGCATGCACACATTGAGATATTTATTATTAAAGTTAAAAGGGTATTTTTTTATTTGTGCTGCAGGTGGCATTTCCAGTAGGCTAATGTAGTACTGTATTCTCTCACTGGATGGCAGTGTCATATCTCAGTTGAGCTGATGTTGAGTTCATGGACAGGGCTTGAAGCACGTTAGATATTACTGATTGAGTAGTTTAGTATTTCTGTCAGTACACCCACACCTGGAGACACCTGTGGGGCGGATCCCAGAGAAACCCAGAGGCTTTGAACAGCGTGTGTCTATTTATACTGTGTGAGAGATAATACACAAAGATCTCTTTAAAACAGAGAGTTTTAGACTCGGCAAAGTCTACAATCAAAAGTCAGAGATCTCAGTACAAACATTTCTCAATAAATGGTCAAATTAAATCTCTTTCTGGAAAAAGCTCTTTACAGGATAACAGCTAATATTTTATTTTATTTCTCATCAAGTGATCTACTCCACATTTATTGAGCGCTGAAATTTCCCTCTGGATATTTTTGTGAATAGGCTTGCACGCAGTTTGTATGTTTTTGCTAGTAGACTATAGTTATTGTTAGCGCTCTTTTGACTTGTGTAAGCAAACTGCAGACAGGCCACCCGTATCACCCCAGAGACCCCTGAGGGGTCAAATGATCATGAGAGGTCAGAGAGGAGCAGAGATCAGTGCGTACTGCCCGGCTCCTCCACATGTGCCATTTTCCAGTAGGCTAATGTAGTACTGTATTCTCTCACTGGATGGCAGTGTCATATCTCAGTTGAGCTGATGTTGAGTTCATGGACAGGGCTTGAAGCACATTAGATATTACTGATTGAGTAGTTTAGTATTTCTGTCAGTACACCCACACCTGGAGACACCTGTGGGGCGGATCCCAGAGAAACCCAGAGGCTTTGAACAGCGTGTGTCTATTTATACTGTGTGAGAGATAATACACAAAGATCTCTTTAAAACAGAGAGTTTTAGACTCGGCAAAGTCTACAATCAAAAGTCAGAGATCTCAGTACAAACATTTCTCAATAAATGGTCAAATTAAATCTCTTTCTGGAAAAAGCTCTTTACAGGATAACAGCTAATATTTTATTTTATTTCTCATCAAGTGATCTACTCCACATTTATTGAGCGCTGAAATTTCCCTCTGGATATTTTTGTGAATAGGCTTGCACGCAGTTTGTATGTTTTTGCTAGTAGACTATAGTTATTGTTAGCGCTCTTTTGACTTGTGTAAGCAAACTGCAGACAGACCACCCGTATCACCCCAGAGACCCCTGAGGGGTCAAATGATAATGAGAGGTCAGAGAGGAGCAGAGATCAGTGCATACTGCCCGGCTCCTCCACATGTGCCATTGATTCAGACCAAGCCATATCCTCTGATAGTGTTTAGAAACACATATATGCATACAAAGATCCACCTGTTTCTTTCTGCTTTGCAGGAGATCGTGCTGGTGGTGTTTTTTGGGACAGAGTACGTGGTCCGGCTGTGGTCGGCCGGCTGTCGGAGCAAATATGTGGGTATTAAAGGCCGTCTGAGGTTCATCAGGAAACCCATCTCCATTATAGGTATCTACTTGAATGAATTGTATTACTTCAGGTTTATTTTATTTTATTTTATTTGTTATCTGATTGCTTCCGGTATTATTTTAGTATAATTGAGAAACTACTCTAAGTTTTTATTATAATAGGTAATTAATAGAATTTTCATTAGAATTTCTCTTAAAGTTTTAGTAATTTTGTTGTGTGTTTTCGTAATTTGTATTTATTTTTCATTTTAAATATATGTTTATATATATATATATATATATATATATGTTTATGTAGTTTTTATAGCTGAAATAAAATAAATTTAGGATTTTTTTCTTTCAGTTACCATTTATTTCAAGTAACAAAAATGTCTTTTTTAGTTTAGTATATATTTTATACTAATTATACCAAAAATGTTTTTCTTTCACCTTAATGTTATTATTTTCACTACAATTAAATATTTGTTAATGTAATCTCTAAATTAATATGCCACATAAACTGCATGCAAATTAACAAAAATATTTTGTTTTTTTTAAATATTTAATAATAAATAAATGAAACAAAATAATTACTGCATGAATAAAGTAAATAAACAAATTAATAAAAATAACATAATAAACATCAATACAAACAAACCAGTAAACAAACAAACAAACAAGCAAAGAGTCTTTCACCTTAATGTTATTGTTTTCACTTAAACGGAAATGTCATATTTACAGACTAAAGTATTTATTTATTTATTTATTTGCAGTGATCAATAAGTAAAACAGACAAACAAATAAAAAAGAATGAATGAATGAAAGAATAGTTTCCGATGGAGTATATATTTTAATAACCATGGTTACATCAGCTGTATTTTTATTTATAAATTTTGCATCAAAAGTTTTTCTTTCCATTATGTCATTATTGTCATTATTAATGTCATTAAAATAATGTCATTATTTTCTCTTCGCTGGAACATTTGTCATATTTACAGACTAAAGTTTTTTTTTTTTTTTGCCATTTTGCCATCTCCTAATCAAGATAATTTTATATAACTTTGTGTATGAATGAGTTTGATGTCTTCTTTCACTGGTGACACAGATCTGATAGTGGTCGTCGCCTCTGTCGTGGTTCTGAGCGTTGGGTCTAATGGGCAAGTGTTCGCCACGTCCGCAATCAGGTACAGATATGACCAACAGAAGCATCATCATCCATGTGTTTGATCAGCAGAACAACCAGTGATGATCATATTTGCCTGATGTTTATTGTAGTATATTGCTCTGTGAACTAAAGAAGCTCTGATTTCATTGATTGCAGAGGGATCCGTTTCCTCCAGATCTTGCGAATGCTGCATGTGGATCGTCAGGGTGGAACGTGGAGGCTTCTGGGATCAGTGGTTTTTATTCATCGGCAGGTGCGCTTGATTTACGCCGTCAGGCCTTGACCGTAATATTCACCTTAATACTTTACAGTACAGTGAAACCCACTGATTTCATCAAACAGAGTTAATCAGTGCACGTCTGGCACAGCCAACCTCAGATTTCTCTCCAAATATGGCCTCATGATTTCACATTACGATAATCTAAGCGGAGAGCTCCCGTTTCAGTGATCTAAGGCTTTATGCATTAAATCCAATCACTTTACGCACACATTTTTTCAATCGCTTCAGCGTTGACACGCATCTTATGAAAGGGCTGAAGTTCTCAGTGGATCAGGTGTGATTGGGCTGATTCATTCAGCGCCCCGTGGGCCTTCACATGCACTCTTGGGCTTAGGGAAGGTTTGCCTAATAAGGTGCTTTTATACTCCATGGCATTCGCCACATAAACTATGTTCATTTCAACCAGTTTAAAAATGCCATTTTTGCTTGGATTTTTTCATTTTAGTCTTGAGTTTGTGTATTGCACCAATTATTGTGCCAAAAAATGTATACAATTTGTGTCATCAGGTTTTCATTCCTTTGGACTAACTAACTTAACTAACTAACTAACTAAATAGAAATATTTAAAAGTCCCATGTGTCACTTAGATGTTCGTCTAAGTCATGAATTTATATATTGCACCAAAGATGTACCAAAAAATGTATACAAATTTTGTCAGATTTTTATTCTACTTTATTCTACTTTGGAGTCCAAAAAACAAAACAAAACAAAGCAAAAAAATAAATAAAATAAACCACATTTATTCAAAAGTCCTTTTTATTTAGGTTTTAATCCTATCCTTGAATTTATATAGTATATTGCAAAAAAAAAAAATGCAAGAAAATACTAGATGTACAATGTACCAAATGTACAAGTTAGAAAAATAAACAAAATAAATTCCTGTTTTAACTTAGATTTTCATGCATGTCATGAATTTATATATTGCACCAAAAATGTACCAAAAAATGTATACAAATTTTGTCATCAGATTTTTATTCCTTTGGACTTACTCAAATAAATAAATAAATATTTATTTATTTATAGATAATAAATAAATATTTATTTATTTATTTGAGTGAATTTATATATTGCACCAAAAATGTACCAAATAATGTATACACAATTTGTCATCAGTTCTTTTTATTCCTTTGGACTTACTCAAATAAATAAATAAATACATATTTATTTATTATCTATAAATAAATAAATAAAAGATATGTGTAATACGATATATGTAAGATATGTATAAGATATGTATAAGAAAAATGAGTCAGATCACTGAAATAATGAAGATCCTTGAAATAATCAGGAACTCAAGAGAAAGTGAAGACTTTTTTTAATGAATAATTATTATTCATTCTAAATGATATCATTTAAAATAATATAGTATATTGTTAATTTTAATATTATATTATTTAATGTAGAAATATTACTGAAATATTATAGTAATATATATACTACACACATACATACACAGTTATTATAAACAATTGTAATAATATATACTTAAATTAATATATAATACTTTAATTTAAAATATATAAAAATACATATTTAGAATATACATAATTTCAAATATAATTTACAATTCATATAAATACATTTATTTTTTAATTTATAAATGTATTATATAAATGATAATAGAAGTAAGATTATATATATAATTATATTAAATTCTAAATGATATAGTTTTAAATTAATGTGTAATAAATTAATATAAAGTAAATAATGTTTAATATAAGTATAATGTAAAATCATTTATATAAATGTATTTATGTTTTATTGTGCTTTTTATTTGGCCTGTATGATTCATTCACATTTTGTAGCAGCACTAAAGTAATTTTAATAATAAAACAATGAAATGCATGCTATAAGTGTGAGTTTTTCCATGTAGTTTATTAACTTTGTGGTAGCTGAACATTTAAACTGTCTTCCTCTGTGTGCAGGGCATTCTGGGATCTGGTTTTGCTCTTAAAGTCCAGCAGAAACAGAGGCAGAAACATTTTAACCGGCAGATTCCAGCCGCAGCCTCTCTAATACAGGTGACAAAAGACAGCTAAAGCTACGGCCACAACACAATGAACATTTCCTCCTTAACATACCATAAATAACTCTGTCCCACGTTCAGACGCTGTGGAGATGCTACGCCTGCGAGAAGTCCGACGGCTGTACGGCCACGTGGAAGATGTACGTGCTGACGGGTGACTACATCCCCATCATAAACTCGGAAAACTCCAGCCCGGGCAACTTCAGACGGCTGGTGAGGAGAAACGCTCCCTGCTCCCTCCCTCGTCTGCAAACGGATATTTCTCTGTCTTGTCTTTCAAGTCCTTTGTGTTGTGTTTTTGGTCATTGTCATGTTCCTTCCCGTCAATTGTCCCGATTGAGCCTCCGTAGTGGGCCACTGCAAAGTGCAGACAGTAAAAGCATTTTTCTAGAGGGGTTATTGTGTGTTAAGTCCTTTATATAGGCTCATGTGAGTTCCCAGAACACATGCAAAGGTCTCTGAGGGTAAACAGTAGAGGGTGTGAGGGGTGTTTTAAATGAATTTAGATTAATGTTGGGAAGTAGCTAAGTAAAAATAGCGAGACTATAACCTGACAATTTTTTTTAGTAGCATGACATTAGCTTTTCCAGTAACTTTGCACATGGCTACCTTGCTGTTTTTTTGCCATTTTTCACAATTTTTACTGTAAAGTGTTAGAGAAATAGTTCATTCGGATTGTTCTGAACTGTGTCAAATTACAGAAGTAAAATGAGTTGTGATGCCTCATTTTGACTTCAACTGCATATTTAGTATTGTGTCACAAGCTCGGCTGTTTTCAGAGCTTTCCCAACTTTTAGGTCTTAAGGTCTTTTTACAACAAAGTAGTGGCGTAGCCAAACATGCTATTCTAGAATGTAGCATTGTGAAGATTCATTTATTTTACTGAATCAGTTAATGTAAGTGAACTGATTCAGAAAACGATTCGCTGATTCTCTTTTGAGTCATTTCCTGTGCAGCATTTTATACCTTCTTTATTACAGCAAAATATCTATTTAAATGCTGCTTTTAGTCACTATATTTTTGTCTTTTGGGTATTTTTGAGTTTGCGATAATTTATTTATGAAAAAAATTCAGCAAGGATGCATTCAGTTGTTAAAAAGTGACAGTAAAGACATTTATAATGTAACAAAAAAGATTTCTATTTAAAAAAAGAATTCTGAAAAAAAAAAAAATCCACCAAAAATATGAAGCTGCACTTAATATTCTTTTAACATTAATAATAAGAAGAAATTGCTGCTGAAAATTCAGCTTTGCCATCACAGGAATAAATTATATTTTAAAATATATCCAAATAGAAAACCGGTATTTTAAATTGTAAAAATATGTCACAATATTACTGTTTTTACTGTTTTTTTTTATAAATAAATAATTATTATTATTTATTTATTAATAAGAAGAAATTGCTGCTGAAAATTCAGCTTTGCCATCACAGGAATAAATTATATTTTAAAATATATCCAAATAGAAAACTGGTATTTTAAATTGTAAAAATATGTCACAATATTACTGTTTTTACTGTTTTTTTTAATAAATAAATAATTATTTATTATTATTTATTTATTATTATTTAGTGATTTATCAGATGCTTTTATCCAAAGCGACTTACAAATGAGGACAACAGAAGCAATCAATTGTAGTATTAAAACAACTAAAAACAGATCCAAAACTAAAAGCTAAAACTTTATAAATACTACCTATACACATTTAAATGAAAAACAAAAAATAAAGCTAAAAATAATTCAAAATATTAAAGAACAAAAGGTATAAGAGTATAATAATGATTCTAACATAACACTAAGCCTTAAACTTAAACTTACATTTTTAAATTTATTAAATAAATATGTTTTAAAAAAATGCATTCTTGGTGAGCATAAGACACTTCTTTCAAAAACATAAAAAAATTGACTGACCTCCAAAAAATTACTGACCCCAAACTTTTGAATGGTAATGAATATAAGGGTGTTTGTAATTTTATTAGTTGTATTTAGTGTAAATGTATCAGGTTTAGTTTAGAGTCAACTTGAAATTACATTCGCAACTCATTTTACTTACATAATGACACATTTGTGATATTCAACATCAAAATGTAGAATGAGACTTGATATTATTAATGGGAAATCAATTGTATGATAATTGTAAAGTGTCTCTATGACAGACGTAATTAAATATGAGGAAGTGAAAACATAAATTTAAGCATTTCTTTAGGTTTTATTAGTTTAGTAGTTAAATATTTGATCATGTATTAAGCATGGTAAATTTTTATTAGTAGCCTGTAGTGTAACTGTATTTTCTCTCTTTACCAAACAGAAGCTTGCTCGTCATTTAACAAGTTCAGATGATGATAAACTTCCCCGAGGCAGCGTTCGATTGACTTCCATTCACGGCGAGTGTGTGTTTGACATGGATCCAGAAGGTTTTTGCCATTCAATGTTTTAATTAACGCCGCTGTGTGCGGTGGATTTCACAGGGCTTTTCTGAAGAGAACCCAGGTCAGGATGTAGGTTTAGGTGTGAGAAGCGCAGCGAGAAAGACCTGATGTCATGGGATGGAGTCATTTCTCTCCGCTCGCCCCCTCTTTGTCTGCCGCGCACAAAGGCGCAGTCAAATGCGATTATGTCATCGCAGCCGCTCTCCTGGGAGCAAAACCTTTGTGTAGCGCAACAACAACAAAAAAATCTTTGTGTAGCTCTGACTCCAAACGTATTGGGCAGCGCGACGGCCCGTGTGACTGTTCTCCTTCATAAACCTCTCATTCAGGACTGCCGGATTCATTTCCCCCCCGCAGCAGTTATTCAGGCCAGCGGGAAGCCGTGATTTTTTTCACGCCGCGCTGTGACGTGACTAATATTTCACTCACTTGTGTAGGTTGCACAGTCACCGCAGAATTCATTAATTCACAAAATGCATATTCTCCAAAAATGAGCAAATTTGAATTTCATATCTGCGGGATTTTGACGTGTCGTTTTCCCATAAACCTTATCGGCGTTTCTTGGGAAGAAACAAAGAGATTCTTGGAGCTGCTGTTTATCAGATTGCATTTGAGATTAAATGTGACTTTGTTTTGGGATTTAGGACTCGTACGTCACAACTTGAGGAATTCTGAATTTCTCTTCATTATTTGAATGAGCTTCCAATAATGCGTAATGGCGAGTAAATCGTCATTTACTCACTGTCATGTCGTTCCAAACTTGTATGGTTTTTCGTAAAACACTTTTGATGAGTATTTGCCATTGTTTTTCATATGAAAATGACATACACTACCAGTCAAAAGTTTGGAATAATTGAGTTTTTTTTCCTGCTCATCAAGGCTGCATTTATTTGATTAAAAATGCAGTAAAAACAGTAAAATTGAAAAAAAAAAAAAATGTACAGTTAACCCAAAAAGAAAAATTTGTCATCATTTACGCACCCTCATGTCGTTTCAAACCTCTATCACTTACAATTCTTTTATGAAACATAACAGAAAATAATGAAGAATGTTGGTCACCAGAAGAAAAAGAAGACTGTTGGTAACCAAGCTGTTTTGGTTAACAATGACTTTCTTGTATGAACAAAAAACACTGAGATGTTTCTCAAATTATCTTCTTTTATGTTCTATAGTTTATATTAGGCTAGCCTAAACGTTTATGTATAATACATTTTATGTTGAATGAAATAAAATATTTCTTTCTAAAGCTATTTAAAAAAAAAAAAATGTACTCTATACTTTTCTCATTTAACTCAATGACGGCTTTATCTTTATAGTTATCTTTTGGGGGAATTTTCACAGCCAAATTTAATTTGTGATTAATTAGATCAATTAATTAATCACCACATCATGCAATTAACTGGATTAAAATTTTGAATCGACTGACAGCCCTAATATATGTAATAAGTATATTTAATAAGTATATTAAAACAGTTTTGGCTCAGTAAGATTTCAGTTAAAAAGGGTTTAAAAGGGTTGCTGTTTTTACTTTATTTTGTGTATCATTGCAAGCTATAGTAGCTTCAAAAATGTATTTTTCAGTATGAAAAGCAGTTAAAAAACAAAACAGTGACAGTAAAATGGAAAAAAAAAAAAAAAAATATATATATATATATATTATTACAATTTAAAAGAGCTGTTTTCCATGAATATATTCTATTCTATTTGTTTCTATTCTATTCTGTTTCTATTTGAATATATTTTAAAATGTAATTTATTCCTTTGATCA